ACCCCCTTTTTGCAAATGCTAGTTTCCTGGCTGTTTTGTGCACTAGACACATTTCAAAATTAGCCACCAACCCAGAAAAGTTTGAATTCACATGCATGGTTCAGGTCAGCCCCTCAAAGCAAGGAACCAAAGAGGGACAGTATGACAGCCAGGAGTCTAGTCTTTGCAGAATGCAATGCCAGCCCCTCAGGTAAGGATTCCCAGATAACACCCGCTCCTCCCAAGAGTCAAATGGCTACAAATACTGGAATATTGTGGCCATCTGTGTGCACTTCCAGACATTTTAGAACTGCAAACTGAGGGAAGGGAGAAGCATAAAAATGTCCAGCTTTACTCTCCACTCACTCCAACACAACTCATAAAAGGCCATTTCTATAGCCGCCTCTTTCCTCATATACCTCATGCTGGGCGAAAGGGCTCTGGTGTCCAAACTGCAGGAGGTCTTCCCAACCCTAACCTTCCTCATACCATCTGAACATCAAACTGGTTGGCATAAGAGGCAATTTTAAAACAGCCAACAACATTGAACATACTATATAAACTCCTTACAAGCTATTTACATGTAATATTGTAGCAGCTGCTCATTTCATAATGACAGACTGAGCTCTCCCCAATAAAGACCTTTCATTTCAGGAAGGAGAAAAACCCTCCCATTTGGTTGTAGACGAGAGGTAGACAGTAAAAATTAGAGACACTTAAGAGTCTTGCAAAGCATTTGAAAGCGTCTAAAATTGAAATTTAAAAAAAAAATTCTTCACACTGGAGCCAGAATAGGACAGGGTATGCCTGGTCCAGGCAAGAAAGTCCAGTAGTCCCATTTCAAAGGTAAAGTCCTAGACTCTAGATGTTAGCAGATTTGATTTCCAAGAGGCATTCCGTGAGGCACAGACTGTTGGAACATGTCGTTTTTGTGGTTAAAGGTAGAATTGTACATGGGTGGTGTAGATCCTAATGGCCCCGACATGTATCCTGGAGACACCTCCTGAGGGAGAGGAAAAACACCAACATGAGGGACCATGTGCTGCACTTCGTAACCTTCATTACTGTGCTCCTTTGGAACTTGTCGCTTGTCCTTCTGACGGCGATTACAGAACCAGACGCGGACCACCTGGACAACATTAAAGTGGGAATGAGGTTAAGTAGAAGTGTGATTGTACAGATATGAGAAAACTGCTTGAAAAGATGGACTAAAATAGCAATTTACAAAGTAACCAACTTTCTGAACACACTATGGAGTCTTCTGACAGCACAGACAGCCACACTGCCCAGGGCCATCCATCCCAGTCCTCCATGTAATTATTGCATTCCCAGGGGAGAATGCAAAGTGGGCAGATAGCTGCACAACAGTGGTCTTTGAACACACACTTTGGCAGTGAGGCAAAAAAAATAATAATTCTAAAGAAAATGTTAAGAAAACCATTTTATATGGGTCCATCACCCAGTTTAGTAGCCCTACGGTTTAACTACATTTTAAGACAGCTCCTAGGAGCCGTTGGCACTAACCCTTACGACAAGACAATTCTACAAGACTGAGTTCAGTTACAAAATGTAATGCTTACATCTTTCTCCATATGCAGCTCCCGTGCAATCTGTTCCATTTCCTGGGTGCCTGGCTTGGGGCTCTTCAAGAAATAACTCTCCAGACTGTCTTTCACCAGGTTCTCAATATTTGTCCTTCGTTTCCTCTTCCGGGACTGAGCCAGCACCTGTTCCCGATTGATCATCTAAGAAACAAGAATACAGTGAAATTTTAGAGGCTCCAGTCAATACAATAGGTCAGACAATCACCCTGTAAATTAATTATCAAATAACCAAAATATATTTGTTGTGGGTGTGGATGTCAGTCTATGCTATAGGTGACCAATAAGGGTATTTCGCTGCTAAATACAGTGCAATTTAAACATGAGAACTGTTCAATGCTGAACATGTAGTTGCTTAGCAACCTTCCAGCACGACTCCCATTTTACCAAGAAGATACCCACCATACTTCATATTTTGGCAATCTTTACTGCCCTATAGATTGATCTAAAAGGGAGTCCGAGAGGCAGCCATCAATGGCCTCCTAAAATTGCAAGTTGCATGGCCTCGGTATCTAGAGTTAAAAACCTGGCCCAAACATGCAGCCAGTGAAGTCAACCAATGAAGCAGTAGCAGCCTTTAAAGCAAAATGTTCCCTTTAAAAGTCCTTTTCCCCTTTAGAGGCCAGCTTACCTCTTGAAGGTTGTCATTGTTTTCAGCCTCTTCCAGCCAGCGCTGTAAAAGGGGTTTAAGCTGGCACATATTTTTGAAGCTCAATTGGAGGGACTCAAACCTACAGATTGTCGTCTGGCTAAACATCTTTCCTGTAGGAAAGAAAGAAAAAATACATTTATAACCATTTATTTATCTCTAGATCTCCAAACATTTCCATGGGCTGCAAGTACAGCTAACTTTGCATCAAACTACAGCTACAGGGCAAACCCACATAATTTGCTGCAAGAGACTCGATCCAAATTGACAAATACATTCCTTGCAAAACAGTTTGGTTTGGGACATAGCTGGGACAGGTTAAGAGCTCTGTTAAGAATTCATTACCGTCTTAGTCCCTCTTTGGGACACCCCCCTCGACACAGGATGGAAAAACATGTCCAAAAGGACAAATCCCACATAGAACGAACAGTTGTCTACTTTGATGTTTCCCTCCCTTCCACTACTGGTTACAATGGAAACTTCCCAATGGGCTACCCAGACAGAATACAAGACTGAAACTTCTGATATTCAATTAGCTTTTAAGAGCTACACAAGATGTACCTATAAAATAGTGTGGCTGTCTAATACAACTACAGAAAGTCTACAGCTTTAAAGTTTGCCCCTTAGCTTGGAGAACACAGAAACCATTTTTTTGTACCAGTGTGTGACCAGTTGTTGACTTGGCAAGCTAGATTGGTGAACTTCTAATGCTGCTGCTGAAGGACCATAAAATGGAAGGTGTTAGGAGTTATTTTAAGGCTGACAACATAGCAGCTCTCCAAAGTGGGTAAACAATCTGTCTAGAGGCACAATACATAAAATGGTAATATTAAACATTTTAGTTCAATTCGGATTTTGCTTTATTTCATTATTCGGAATTCGGGTCTGAAAGTCAATTCGTACATGTCTATTTAGGACATTTCTAGAAGGGGTGGAGTGCTTACCATATAAAACTCCCAAGGCATAGCCAACATCCGCTTGTGTAAACCCCATAGACACGCGCTTCTGCTTCATATCCCTAGCAAACTGCTCCATTTCCATCTCACTGGGCATTTCCTAAAGGGGAAAGAAGGAAAAATTTTAAACATTGAAAAGGGGGGGGGGGGGGGGGGACAAAAAAAAAACGGCGGC